CCTGGAACTCTAGAGGAAAGATGAAGAAAGCCAGGTTATTGATAAATGTGGGACTGTTATTTTCTGCACCGAGCTATGAATTTTAAGAAGGAACTAAGCTCAGGCAAGAATTAGTGGGTTTTAAATAGAGTTTGAAAGGAATAAAGAAAGCCAGAGATTAAAGCTCCATAGAGCCAGAAGACCCAACTGCTCTGTACCCTGAAAAACAAGAGATAAGACAGAAAAGGGTTCTGAGAACTGAATGCATATTAAGACTCTTTAATCAAAGGGCCTCCGTGTGTGCAAAAATCAGCTTAAGTGGGTATGGTTTCTTATCTCCTATTATTTCATATGTTGCAAGAGGAGGAAGGGAGGGAGGGAGAAAGAGAGAGAGGGGAGAGAGAGAGAGAGAGAGAGAGAGAGAGAGAGAGAGAGAGAGTCTAATAGAGCCAGCTTAAAAACTCTGTCTACAAAAATAAGTTTGGCAACATTTACTGAAACAGAAAGGACTGCAACATGAAATTTATCACAGGCATGTTTTTAATGAAATTTTGTTGCTCATGAAACAAGTTCTTAAGTTCATTAATATTTTAAGGATTCAATTCCTATGAATTTGGGCATTTTACCATTGCTCATGGAAATATTTTTAGAGTTTGATATTAAAGTAGTTAAGAAAAATAAAATTTAAAAACAACATTCTTCAGTTAAGAACAGGGGTGAAGGAACTGTGTGTGTGTGTGTGTGTGTGTGTGTGTGTCTGCTGTGTGTGTGTGTGTGTGTGTCTGTGTTTATCAAGTTAGGATAGAAAAAGGCTAATGTGACCAACACATACTTGGGTTAGAGAAATTTTATGGGTGCCGAAATGATTGTCCAAATGTTTGGCCATCCTCTACCATACCCATTTCAAAGATCACAAAGAAGGCACTTAACTAATGGTAGAGTCAAAGGCCAAAGACTATATTGAAGAAGAAACTATAGCCCCACTCGTCTCAGATGGAGACCTTAAAAAACAAAGAAAACATCTAACCAAAAGAAAGTTTTCTATAGATCTGGGAAGCGACATTTTGAGACCCTGACTTGCAGGAGAATGGGCAGCCCTTGAGCTGGAGATAGTCCTCTCTTTGCATACTGCCCCACTTCACAATTGCCTGATGCTGACTGAGCACAGGAGAGTATCTCACAGCACTTTAGAGGTCAAGGGACCAAATTTGAGCGTAATGGGCCCAGGAGTCATGTCTGTGCCCCCACAATACTGTTGTTACAGGCCTGTATGAAAATGTACCTGTTTGTTGTGTGGGTGATGAGAATCTGAACTCAGATCCCCACACCCTTGCATCAAGCTCTCTTACATACTGTGCCATCTCTCCAAACTAATATGTGAATATTTCTAAACAAAGAGTTTAACAGCACTTAGAGTTCTTATTTACTTCAATGAGAAAAACTCTCCTGTAAGATGCATCATTATCAAAAAAGAATAGTCTAGAAACACTGAATCCCATCCTGGCATAGAAATAAATATGCTTGAATTTGATGGATTTGTGTCAGCAGTACATCTTGTAATTTGAACTTCTCATATGTTGGAATTGCCTTTGCTTTCACGGAAAATCTTGTTACATTTCTCATCGTGTCTTCGGGTGACTTAAATTGGAGTCCTGAGTGCCAGTTCTTTGTTTTAAACTCACGTTGTTTTTCTTGATATAACCAGGAAATTGAAAAGGAAGCAGGAAACACAACGCTCTGATAAACAACAACAAAACAGAGATATAGACAAGATCCAAACCAAACCACAGGACTTCCCGAGCTGAGGTCAGTGAAACCAGCAATTCAGGTGTCCTCACCACAGAATCCATGCATATAGAAAACAGGCAGGGATGTGCTGTGCCTGAGGTTTGTTGGCCAGTGGCCAGTTGTCCCTGCGAGTGCCCCTCTGTAAAGACTGCCATTTTCTTTTTTTTTTCTTAAAATTTATATGAGTGTTGTGCCTGCATGTGTGTAAGTACACCTGTGTCATACAATGCTCACGGAGGACAGAAGAGGGCGTTGGATTCCCTGGAGCTGGAGTTATAAGTGGTTGTTAGCCACCATGAGGGTGCTGGAACTTGAACCCGTGTCTTCCACAAGAAGAGCCAGTGGTCTCCACTGCTGAGCCATCCCTTTAGCCCGACAGTGCGTTTCTCATGAAGGACGTGCTAACCTACACTTCCTTTTTAAATCAGAGCATGCGATTGCTTTGTTGTTGTTTAAAATTATTAGACAACCTGGTTTCTATTTAGAAATTCTTAAGGTACACTCAGTAATGGGAAGACCAGATGGGATACAGGTTGCTTTCTCTCTAAGGAAAACAGCAAGTTTTAAAATCTAGGCATTACACTTTAAAACAAAGGAAATGTGGTAGATTGTGTGATAAAATACATGCTTTGTACATCATGTTCTTTTTTTTTGGTCTTTTAGAGACAGGGTCTCCCTGTAGCCCCACCTGTCCTGGAACTCACTATGTAGACCAGGCTGGCCTCCAACTCACAGAGATCCAC